AGCAGGGAAGCAAAAGACACTGGCACTAGACATGTCAGTGCCCACGGATGACTGTTAACAGCTATAAAAGGAGCTGAGGGGCTAGAGAGATAGCTCGGTGGTTAAAAGTAGATATTTCTCTTGCCCAGGACCCAAGTTCAGTCCCCAGCTCACAACGGATTGTAACCAGCACCAGAAGATCCAGTGCCCTCTTCTGGTCTCTGCAGGGACTGTACTAGCAGAAAGAACTGTTTAGAGAGAAAAAACACATTTGTGGAGTTTCCCTCTCTGTTGGCAGGGAAGCAAAAGACACTGGCACTAGACATGTCAGTGCCCACAGATGAACTGTTAACAGCTATAAAAGGAGCTGAGGGGCTAGAGAGATAGCTCGGTGGTTAAAAGGAGATATTTCTCTTGCCCAGGACCCAAATTCAGTCCCCAGCTCACAACGGATTGTAACCAGCACCAGAAGATCCAGTGCCCTCTTCTGGTCTCTGCAGGGACTGTACTCAACATGCACATACCCATATACAGACACACACTGTTCTTGTTTCCTTTTCTATTGCTGCTACAAAACACTCTGACCGATACTAACTTGGGGAAGAAAGGGTTTATTTGGCTTACATCTCCTGGGTCACAGTTCATCGCTCAGCGAGCCCAAGGTAGGAACTCAGGGCAGGAACCTGGAGGCAGGAGCTGAAGCACAGGCCATGGAGGAATGCTGTTTACTGGCTTGCTCTCCTGGACTGCACTCAGCCTGCTTTCTTATAAAACACAGAACAATCTGCCCAGGGGTGGCACCGCCCACAGTGGGCTGGGCCCTCCCAAATCACTCAACAATCAAGAAAATGCCTCACAGATACAGCCGCAGGCCAGTCCAATGGAGCCAATTCTCCCCAGTTGAGGCTCCCTCAACCCAGGTGTGTCAAGTTGACAACTGAAGCTATCCAGCATACACGCGCACGCATGTGCACGCACACACACATACATGGAGGCATACTAAAGCTTAAACTAAAATCTCTTTTCAAAAAAGGAGTCTACCCAGGAGTGGTGGCACATGCCTTTAATCCCAGCACTGGGGGTGGGCAGAGACAGGTGGATATCTGAGAGATCGAGGCCAGCCTGGTCTACATAGTGAATTCCAGGTCAGCTGGGGCTACAGGGAGAACCTGTCTCACAAAGACCAAAAATAAATAAATAAGTAATGAGAAATAAAAAAAAATGAGTCTACACTTTGCAGGTACCCAGGCGTGAGAAAAATAGCAAATGACTCAGGTCATTAAATATATTTCTTGGATTACCTCCTGCAAGTTATCATGATCAAGTTACTGACTACACTAGAAAATACGGCTAGCACAAAGCCTTTCCTTAACCGCCTTTGATCAGCCCGTCACTCACAGACAGAGCTGTGCCTGGCTTTGAAGCCCCCCCCCCCACCCGGTACTAGCACAGTCTCATTGATACCAGTTCCTCCTGGTGATAAGAGCACTTGGAGCTTCCTAAATGCAGCTCTGCTCTTGTGACGTCTCCTTCAATATCCTTCTATGGTTCTTGCTTCTGCCATAGAGTCTGACTCTTAAGCAAGGCCCCTAGGCCTTTCCAATCTTTATTTCCCATCTATGCATTCCCTAGCCACACCTTCACACATGCCAGTAATTTTGAAAATACATTTTAATTGCAATAAATTTATATTTTTTAAAATTTTATGTGTATCAATGTTTTGCCTGTGTATATGTAAGTGTACCATGTGTGTGCAATGACCATAGAGATCAGAAGAGGGAATTGGATCACCTGGAACTAGAGTTATAGACAGTTGTTAGTCACCATGTGAGTACTGGGAATCAAACCCGGGTCCTCTGAAAGAACAGCAAGTATTCTTAACTGCTGAGCCATCTCTCCAGCCCCCTTAATTGCAATAATTTATAGAGCAAAAATACATACCTGGAAGTGTCTTAAGTACTAACCCCAAAGGACTGAAACCAGACTCAGCTAGCCAGGAAGCTTCATTGAAGCATTCACACACAGCCACACAGTGGAACCAGTTCTACCCATCAGTACAGAATGGCTTTTGTAAAATGCGATTTTGACCTTTTACCAGCCTGTCTGTCTTGAAGTAAGTGTGCGTGTCATTGGCCTGACGTACATCCACCATTCTGTGCAAACTTCACCTGTTTCCAAAACCTTTCATCATTCCAAACAGAAATTCTGCACACATTACACAACTCTCCACACTGCCTCTCCCAGCACCCAGTAACCTCCGATCCACTTTCTGTCTGTGCATTTGGAATCATGCAATTGGAAATGGAGTCCTGCAGTATTTGTCCTGTGTCCTCATCTAAATCAGCATTATGATTCCAGTGTATGTTCATGTTATAGAATGTACCAGAACTTTGTTCCTTTTTGAGGCTGAATGATACTGCACTGTGATATAATCCACATTTTACTTAACCCCTTCATCCACCAATGGATATTTGGATTGCTTTTGCATCTCATTGTGAATAATGCCACACAGTCAAGATTCAATGCTGCAAAAAAGCAATCTCCATTTTCATTTCCTCTTGGTAAATACCTCAGAGCCAGTCTTTGAACCCAGCATCTTTGTCCAGCTCTCCAGAATGTTCTTTTCCCAATTTCCTTGCTTGGAAAGTTCCTAATCATGTTCCAGTTTTCAGTGTAAGCTGTTACTTCCTTTGCCAAATAAACCCTCGAGTGCCGCAGACAGCCCCCAGCACCCTTCTGTGCTCCCCGGAGCTTGTCACAGCACCACAACGAAGCATTTTCTGGCTTCTTTTAGTTACAGTCTCTGCAAGTGTGTGACAAAACTGAAGATTTGCCACCATACTGTCTGATCCAAATGATAGCTTTTATTTTCATTTATTGTAATACAAGTACAAAACCTGTTTCCTGAAAGAATAGTAAAGCTATGATGCCCTTTGCCTCTGGAGCCTATAGAAACAAAATAAAGACAATAAATTCTGTCTTCAGAGTCTACCATACAAAGTATGGGATATTTGGGGTTCTTGACTGCCTGAAGCAGAGGTACATAGCTCACTTGTGATTCATGCCAGGAATTGCTCTGTCTAGGTCAAAGGAGCATTAGGATGTTTTCAGTTGTGGGGGAGGTGAGCAGGGAATCTGTCCACCAGTCAGGTGGCCTTGGAATGGCCACTTCAGCCCTCTAACAGGTCCACTGTGTAATATGTAACTAACAAAGAACTAATGATTTTTGTTAGTGAGATCTGAAGAAATGCAAAGCATCTCTAGACAAGAGGAAAACAATCATGATCCATACCCCTCGCCTACACACTGTGAAGATAATGCACACCGGTCTGAAACCACACATCTCCTAGAAAACCTGCCCCTAAGTCAGCTTTAGGACAAAACAGGCTTTGGGACAAGAGTCTCCTATATTCTCCTTGAGTCAGCTTTTCCATACCTTGGGCATTAACTGAGTTGGCCTGATGGGAAGTTAGTGGCTGGTCTTGGTTTTCCAACATTGGAGAGCTGCGAGGAAGGGAGGTCACAGTACTTTTCCACCAGTATCATTCACTGAAGCCTTCAGGCTTTTCCAGAAAGGACTCTAAAAGGCAGCCTTCCTAAGATGCTCAGAGCTTTCCAGAGGCCAGACCTAAAGGGAACAAAGCTGATGCCCTTCCTCGAAGCCCAGGGGTCTCCACAGCTTTGACTTCTCAGGGCTCTAATGAATCACTGTTTACAAAGCCCGGAGCACAAAGGAAAGCACAAGCTCTGGTCTGCGCTGCTGTTCTGAACCTGTTTCTTGATCAGCAAAAAGAGCCCTCTTGAGGGAACTGAGGGATGTGCAAAAATACTTTTGTAAACTGCAAGAAAGTATTTAACTGCTGAGATGAGCTCTGTGTGCTCTGTGCGCTATGGACTCTAAAATCCAAGTTTCTCTAAGAGTTAAAGACAGTCACAAAATAAAGTGACTAGTCCAATTCCTTCGGCCTCCCCTAGATGGCTGGAGACTGAAATTTTACTTGGGGATTGGCAAGCACACCTCATCCGGAGCACGAACTCTGAAGCAGCCAGAGGGTGATGGACAGTGTCCACCACCGGAAAGCAGGGACCTCGAGGCTCGGAGTCCCAGGTCCCCGGGGTCGGCTGGTGGGAAGTGAGGGTCACCTTTTCCGTTTCCCTGTCCCACTTAGCTCTTGGTCTCTTTCAGGGAAGCAAGGACCTGCTCCGGACCCAGCTGGCCTCCCCGCGTCCACACTGCTTTTGGAATCATGGTCAGCGCTGCGCAGCGCAGGACTCCGCGTACCTGTCGCGCAGGTGGCCGTGGCGCAGCCCCATGGCGGTGCACTCCGCCTCGCTCACCGCCACCCCCTTGCAGGACTTGATCGGGTAGATCCAGAGCTGGGCCACGGTGCCCACCTGCTGCAGCCGCCGGCGCCTCCTGGGGCGCGCACGACGCCAGGCCACGGTCCCCAGCGCCACCGCGGTCAGGCCCAGCGCCGCGACGCCGAGCCAGGTGGAGCGGGGCTGCCCGGGGACCCGGGGCGAAGGGAGGCCGAGACGCGCCAGCGCCGAAGAGCCGGAAGCACCCATGGCCGGAGTCCCCGCGGTGATGGACCTCTGGCCGGCGGAGCAGAGCCCAGCTGTCGCCCGCGGCTGTGGCCCTGGCCGGCGCCCAAAGGGCGGCCGCTCCTTAGCCGGTTACTGGCCAATCCCAGGGGAGCGTCCTCAACCGGCCTGGGCGGGAGGTGGTGACTCCACTGTCACGGTTCTCATAAGCTGTCCGACCTTCCTCCCCAAGGAGGTCGGATCGATCCCTGTAAGAGACAGATTCGTGGGGTTGATGATTTGACCTGAAACAGGCAACGTTTGTAGCAGACAAGGTGTGATTTTGAAATTAGAAATCAGGCTGCGAGCAGCTGCCTCTCTCCAGACTGAGGGAAGGGGGTTGGCAGCGTTTGGCCTGTGCAGTGGCCTGAGGTCCTTCCTCCTCCACATTCCCGGCAGGCTGTCCAGGGGTCAGGGAGTTTTCAGCCAGCTGGGATCTGAGGATGAAGGAATTCCACCAGGCCCTAAGGGCTGCCGAGCCCAGGCCAGCTACAAGGGGAAAACCGAGGGTTAAGCCAGTTTCCCTGGGCTAAGTCAACTGCTTTGGCTGAGTCAGTGGCTGCTACAAGGCCCCCAGGTTCTTGGCCAGCAGGCAGACTCAGTCACCTGTCATGTCTTAACAAAGCCAAGGACATCTAGGTGGCTTAGGAGTCTGGCTCCTATTTGAAGTGCCAAGTTGTTTAAACTTCTGACACTTGTTAAAACCCTAAGACTTTACTCAAGAGTCTTCTAACAGGGTGTTACAGTAGAGCCGAAGATTGGACTTCTATTAAAATAAAGGAGGTTGGGGGTTGACAGCCAAGGGGCACAGTGAAGGGTGGGTAGATACAACTGTCCTGGCAGGAAAGAAGATACTCTAAAGAGGAATGTGTGCCCTTCCCTCCGGCTATCAGACTGTTGAAACAATGGACCCCCTTCCCATGTCCTAGTCTCATTGGAAAAGGCTGGTAGCTAGGTGCTGTGGGGCGGGGGAGGAGCTTATCTCTCAGAAAGAGATTTCACACACTTGCTACTTGTCAGACCACTTTGCTGAAGAACAAAACCATGTTGGGTCTGTGAAAGGCCAGACCACACCTTTACCAGGACTACCTAGTTGTGAATATTTCTTGCCCTCTGTTTAAACACAGACTTCCTCATGTCAGGATCCTAAAGGTGGACTTGGTGGTGGGGTGGCGGAGGGGGGCATGTCACTGGACCTTTGTTCCTCCTTCCAATATGACCACATTGAATAAATTTCTGTTTTTTTCCTACTTTTCACTTACTATGTCTCTTTAATTGGTCTGCTTTAGAACAGATGGTCCAGTCCAGTTTGATAGGGCTGCCAGGGCCCAGGCTCTGACCTTAACAAGACCAGTAGCATAGAAAGTTACTAAAGGAGATACCAGGAGCGGAGGTTCCTTACTAAACCATCTGAACTGGATGCTTGTGATAGCAGGGCAAAGTGGGAGATGGGGAACCTGAACAGTTATCTGGGTCAGCAGCTATGGACCCTGGGAATTCTCTCTAAACTGACTTAGCAGGATAATTACCAACACTGGACTCTGCAGACCTGGCAGGGTGTGGGTGGAGGACTGAACAGTTATCTGGGTCAGCAACTATGGACCCTGGGAATTCTCTCTAAACTGACTTAGGATAATTACCAACACTGGACTCTGCAGACCTGGCAGGGTGTGGGTGGAGGAGATTAGGGAATGAAACCAAAAAGTTGAAGCTTAAACAAGAGGCACAGGGGGAGGAAACTGACATTTGGCAAAGAGTCTGTCTTAATGTTCTTCTACTGTGATAAAATACCCTGACAAAAGCAACCTAAGGGGAAAAGGGTTTACTTCAGTTCACGGTTCAAGGTTACAGTCCTTGAACGACAGAGCCATCGCTCCAGCCCTTGATGGCTAGTTTTAATTACCCACTGCATTTGGGTCCTGAAACAGTATAGAATTGTGCCAGGTGTGGTGGCACATGCCTTTAGTCCCAGCACTCAGGAGGCAGAGGCAGGCGGATCTCTGTAAGTTCAAGACCAGCCTGGTCTACATAGTGAGTTCCAGACCAAGTGGAACTACACGGAGACCCTATTTCAAAAAGACTAGGAAGGAAAAAAAAAGGGTGAGCACAGCACCACTCCCTGGATTTGGGTCCTGTACTGTATAAAAGTGGAGGGACGGAGCATGCATGAATTCATTCCTCTCAGTTCTTGACTGTGGATGCAACTGGACTAGCTGCTTCAAGCCTTTGCTGTGACCTTCACATGATGGACCCCAGAACTGTGTGGTCTAAGCCCTTTCTTCCTTAAGCTGCTTTTGTCAAACTATTTTACCACAGCAACAGGAAAAGAAACTAAGACAGAACCTTTGTCAGACCCAGCTCAGCCATGATTCCCTTGGGCCAGAACTGTCCCTGCAGATGAATGACATCTTTATTATATAATATAAGTATATGAGTGTATTGCCTGCATGTGTGTAAGTATACCCGGGTTGGGCAACATCTACGAAGGTCAGAAGATGGCACTGGATCCCCTGGAACTGGAGTTACAGACAGTTGTTAGCTACCGTGTGGGTGCTGGGATTCGAACCTGGGTCTTCTCCAAGAACAGTCAGTGTTCTTAACCACTGAGCCATTTGTCCAACCCCGATGAATGACATCTTGTAGCAGATAAAGGACAGCCCCCAGAACTTGGCAACATTGTCCACATGGTACTGGTTCTGAAGGCACAGAAAATGCAAGATTGATGAGATCTAAAACCAAGCAACGTGTGGCAGGGTTGGAGACCATGCAAAGAGGCCCCTTGAGGCCACTGGGAAGAGTGGAAAGCAAGCTGAGCACTAGCATGAAAATATCCACATGTATGCATTCACTGGTCTCTTCCTCTGACTGCGGAGGTATGTGACCAGCTGCTACTGTTGCCTTGACTTTCCCATCATGACAGACGGTGACCTGGAATTATGGGAGATGGACACTTTTTCCTCAACTGGTGTGGTGGTTTGAATGAGAATGTCCCCCATAGACTCCAAGTATTTGAGCATTTTGTTCCCAGATGGTGGAGCTGTTTTGGGAGGTCTTAGAAGGTGTGGCCATGCTGGAGGAAGCATGTCACTGGGGGCGAGCTTAGAGAGTTCTCAAGCCTTGCCCGATCTCCAGTCACTTGCTACTTCCTGTGCCTGCTTGAAGACGTGAGAACTTAGCTTCTGCTCCTGCTCCAGGCACCTTCACTGCCATGTCTCCCCACCATGATGGACTCTTGCCCCTTTGGAACCATAAGCTAAATAAACTCTTCCTTTCATAAGTTCCCTTGGTCATGGCGTTTCTATCACAGCATCAGAAAAGAACTAATACAACTGGGAGCTCACTTTAGGGCCCTTCAATACCCAGGAACTGTCCTGAAACATTGTTCCCCTTCATACACATGTAGTCCCAAACACATGCTTTTCTTTCCAAATGAACCATCATCTGCAATCACTCCTCACTCCTGTGAAATCCAGAGATGATGCTGGGTAAATCATTCCTGGGTGTGGATTGCTAATCACAGCTTGAACACTTACAGCCCTCTGCTTTACATACCCAATGCTTGGTCCCCAGCTACTGGCACTATTGCAAGGGGTTGTAGGAAGTTTAGGAGGTGCAGCTTCGCTGGATGAAGTAGGTCACTTGGGGTATGTTGCACCTGGCCCCTTCTTGTCCATCTGCTTCCTGTACCCCATCAGGGAGAGTACCTGCTGCCATAGGTTCCTATAATCAGGATGTTCTTCCCCAGAGTGTGGGGCCAAGTAACCATGGGCTGAACCTCCTGAAACCTGGGCTAAATAAATCCTTCCTCCTTTAAGCTGTTCTTTCAGGTGTTCTGGTCACAGTGAGGGAAAAGAAAATAATACCATGG